GTGTTCTGTGCTCCGGAAGCTTTTGGACCTCACCCTAGGTATGCCCTCATCTAGCTGTTCTGTTAGCATCCTTTTGTAGCCTCTGTAAAATACTGGTAATCTTATAAGTAACTTGCTTTCCTGAGTTATGTGAGCCACTCTGGGGAATTAATTAAACTGGAAGATGAGGTTTTGGGAACCTCCAATTTGCAGCCAGTTGGTCAGAAGTAATCGCAAATTCATCTGAGGTTGGGGGTGGACTAAGCCCTTAACTTACAGGCTCATGCTAACTCCAGGTAGATCGTGTCAGAACTGACTTGAAGTGTAGGACTCCAGGTGATGCCTGCCAGTCGGAGAACTGCTTGGTGTGGGAAAACCTCCGCGAATTTGTGACTGGAATATAGAATTACAGAGTGTTCAAGAAGAGGAGAAACACAGGAGTTCCTTTAGAGACACTTTGGAAAATCTCCTGACAGTATCAACTACAGCTGAACATACAGATACACCAAGATACGACAATTCCAACCAGTGAAATAAAATTCATATTTTAGAGGGGAGGGTATAGCTCAGTGGCAGAGTGCATGCCTAGCATACAGTAGGTCCTGGGTTCAATCCCCAGTACCTCCATTAAAGGTAAATAAATGAAAAGCTAATTGCCTCCCCCTCAAAAAATTCATATTTTATGGTAAGATAAGAAAAATTTAAACATAAAAAAATTCCCTGCACTTTAACCTCCTTTCTTCCCTCTACTGTGCCTTCTGTATCTGCATTGTGCACGGACCAAACCTCCCTGTCATCAGAAAAGAGCATGAAAACTCTTCTTTTTATTTTGTAATGTATTTTTTTCCTTTTTCTTGTTAATGGAGGTACTGGGGATTGAACCCAGGACTTCATGCATGCTAAGCAGGTGCTCTACCACTGAGGTATACTCCACCCAACAACTCTTTAAAAGATAACATTCCTTCTTGATCTCGTAAGGTGTTATGATGACCCACCACTTTGTACTTCCAGATCTGGATTGTGCAAACTATCTACATCATTTAATGTACAGCCCTCTGTCTCAAAAGCTACATAATTGTAAATAAAATAAAAAGAAACTACAGGGAGGGTGTAGCTTAGTGGTAGAATGCATGCTTAGCATGCACAAGGTTCTAGCTTCAATCCCCAGTACCTCCAGTAAATAAATAAATAAATAAACGTAATTACCTCCCAAAAAAGCAAATAAAAAAATTTTTAAGAAAGTTAATAATAAATAAATAAACCTAACTACCCCCCCAAATCTATATAACTGTGCTTTGACTTTCAATAGGTGGAACAGTTCTGCGTTTTCTGAGAGGCTTTCCCCAGGTTATAGTCCTCAATTTGGCTCAAACACAATTTCCATCTCTTTCCAAGGTTGACTGATTAATTTATTCTGTCAACAAACCCAAAGTGTACCACATACCACAAGGCACGAACAAGAATGCTCACAGCAGCACTATTCAAAATAGCCCCTAATTGGAAACTACCTAAATGCCCATCGATAGGAGAACAGACAAGCTGTAGTGTATTCACCTTTGAAAGCCCCTGGATGGCTGGATTATAAGACCCAAATGGCAGAGTCCTTTGTACTTGTTGGGGCCCAGGGCAGGCTGCCCCAGAATATGCCTCAGTAGAATACTGATTATTTTGAATGAAAGCTACTGAAGAAATGACTGGTATAAGGGGAGCCCTTTGACCTTCCTGTCTGTCTTCCTGAAGCCAGGAAATAAATCTCCCATGTGAAAGGTGTCCTCCTGTACCGGGAAGTAGAAAGACATCCTTATACCAGAGATTGGGAACTCAGGGCTAGTAAGTCTATATAAACAATATAAACAGTTACTTCTTTACAAATTTACTACCCAAGCCCAAACTTTGCTTAAATTCCTTACTAATGAAGCACCCAAACTGAAGTTTCTTTATCCTGTCAATTTCTCTCAATTTCTTTCTCTAAAAGGAAAAATTTTTGTTTAGAAGCTGCCTGTTTTGGCCACATCTTAGGTTCCATTTCCATGAGACCTCTATGGGCATGAATTAAAATACGACTATTTTTCTCCTGTTAATCCTTCATGTGTCAGTTTTAATAGTAGTCCAGCCACAAAAACTCAAGATGGGTAGAGAGGGAGATCTCACCTGCCCGAACATACTAAATCTTGGACCAGCTGGAGAACCTCCTCTTGCACAGGGCCCAGATGCCTTAGGGCTTTCTTTGCTGATGAGTGAGAGTAAGTCTCCCTACCATGATACAAGCTGCCTCTAAAACTCCAAGAGGGCATCCAAACCTTGTGGATTTTTTGTAGTGCATGGTGGGGAAGGGGAAGGGCATTGGAGGGGGCGCAGAGGGGCGAGGAGATACAAGTTTCAGCAATTTGCCCCTTGTTTGGGGAAAAATAAATCCACTATACCTCTTCTCCTCTTCTTCTGGATGTCCCAACCATCCTTTTTTTTTTTTTTTGGTGCCAAAACAGGAGAATGAACCAAACATCTATGAGCTGGCAGTTCCCTGTATTTTTCTGAAATGGAACCTCTTGTAATGCCCATAAATCTAACCAATGCTTCCTTGGCATGTGTTTCATTCTGCTCTTGGAACATCATAATTCTAGCAAAAGATTTTACTTTTCTAGTTCCTGGGGTGGCTCTCTGGTGGGTTCTTTGCGCCATGGGTGAGCAGTCCCTTAGAGAGAAAACATAGGAGCTTGGAAGCAATACCAGAGGCTGGCTCCAAGCTCTGGAAACCCTGGGGAAGAAAGGAGATCATTGGCCAAAGAGAGACAGTACGGTGTGTTGGATCCTACTGATTGCCAGTGCAATAGCTATTTCCATCTTCTTCCTGACTAATCCAACCTTGGATTTGTTGGGGAAGTGGAAGGAAAGTCTAGTTTAGGAGATGATCATCGGTTTACCTGGTTCTTAAGGAGATGATGTCGCCCCCTAGAGGACATTTAGAAAATTATGGGAGGAAATATTTTTGATTGTCAACTGGTTCTCAAGAGGACAATATTGTTCTCTTGGGGGCATTTTAGAAATCTGCGTGGACTTTTTGGAGCATCACGATAATCAAGGGGTTCTTGCTGGCACTAGAGGCCGGGGAGTAGGGATGATAGGATGCCTTGCAACGTTTCATTGGGAGTGAATGATTACCTGATGAACAAATGATAGTTCTTAAATAATAGAACAATTTATGCTGTTATATTAAACTGTGATGCTGAACTTTTCCAGTTCTTTTGGAATTGTGTGCATATCAAAGTCACGGTAGACTTTTGGAAATTTACAAAATGTACACCACCATTTTGGGGGTAAAAATCTAGTTTTGGAACTAGATAGAGGTGATGGTTGTAGCTAGTGACTGTACAAATGCCACTGAATTGTTCACTTTAAAATGGTTAATTTTATATTATGTGAATTTCACTTCAATAAAAAAAAGTTGAAATATATATATCTAGCACCAAATTTGAGAATATACCATTACATTAAAATTTCTCTATGAGCTTTAGAAAAGTATAAGGGGGAAGAGGGTACAGGGGCCTTTTTAGATGTTGTCAGTGCAGGAGAAAATAATTTATAGAGCAGTTAACTTTATTTCCAGAGCTCTTTTTCGCAAAGTGATCAGTTTACAAGAGGTACTGCATACTCACAGGTAATGACTCAGATCACTCCCTAACCAAATGCAAATGAGTTTGTACCATGGATCTTTAAGGTCACTTTCAAGTCAGTATATTAACTAATAAATCATTTAATGCGAAGGATCTGTTTTTTTCGGGTTTTTTTTTCTTGACGAGAGACGAAAAGTATGATATAAACAAAATTTTTATTAGTGAAGAAAAAAAAATAGTGAAAGATAGTACACTCCTGAGAATTGGGAGTGGGCCAATCCAAGAGAGGAAAAATGGCCTGAAGGATCTGTCTTGCTCTTCAAAATAGTTTGGTTCCAGGGGAAGCCATAGCTCAAGTGGTAGAGTACTTGCTTAACATGTACAAGGTCCTGGGTTCAATCCTCAGTACTGCCTCTAAAAATAAATATGTAAACTCAATTATCTCCTTCCCCTACAGGAATAATTTGACTCCTTTATTTTTCTTTCTATGATCCGTGTAAATTTCACTTTAATAATATAAGGCAACTCAGCAAAAGTGTTTCTTTCCAAAGGCTTATCCGAAAGATACTTGATATAGCCCTCTGCCACCCGGTTTTTCCATGACTTCTAAACTTCTTTCCTGCACAGCGGATATTTGATCCTGTCATTGGCATTTTTCCTTGCGATAGCTTTAGATTCAGAACTTTAAAACAAGGTTGAAAAAAGAAAAAAGCTTTTTACTATAGAAAAATTCAAAGATGATGTGTGAAAATAGAAGGGAGAGTAAAATGAACGCTTATGTACCCCTCACCCAACTTCAACAATTATAAACTCATAGCTAAGCCTGATTCTTCACTCACTGAACACCTCCCAATTCTGATGATTTTTAATTAAATCCCAGACTTAGTCCATCTATCCTGCTAGCTAGGTAGCTAGAGCCACACAGATACATATATTTATTTCTACATATATCTCTATATATTTTAGAATAGGCACTTGTACCTCTACTGGGTTAAATAATGTTTTCTTCCCCCCAGATTCATGTTCTTCCTGGAACCTCAGAATGTGACCTTATTTGGAAATAGGGTCATTGAAGAGATAATTAATTAAATTAAGATAAGGTCACATTGGAACTGGAGTTTGGTGGGCCCTTAATCCAAAATGCCCAGTGGCCTTCTAAAAAGAGAAGAGACACAGGGGTAGACACATACAGGGAGAAGGCCATGTGACAAGAGAAGCAGAGATTGGACTGGTGCACCTACAAGCCAAGGAAAGCCAAGGTTTGTAGGCACCCACCAGAAGTTAGAAGAGACAAGGGAGGATTCCTTCCCTGGGGCCTTCAGAGAGTTTGGACATTCATTTCAAACTTAACTGTGAGGTAAGAAATTTCTCTTGTGTGTTCTTTTTAATTAAGAAAATTTTTTTCTTTAATGGAGATACTGGGGATTGAACCCAGGACCTCAATGCACGCCAAGCATGCGCTCTGCCACTGAGCTATACCTCCCACCCTCTCTTCTTCTAAGCCACCTAGCTTGTGATACTTACTTTTGGCAGCCCTAGGATACTAACCCTTACCCATAACTCTTATTCCAATCCAGTACCATAGGGTTTCTTCCAGCCTCCACCTTTTCTATATTTGTACCTTCTCCAACAGTAAGACAACCTGACTTCTGCTATCCCTCAAATATTGGATGGGGTTATAATTAATCTACTCCAACAACATGCTTAAAAATTGGAGAAATAACCACTAGATGAGTTTGACTCCCACTGGCCTAATCTGAGGAAAATTCCAGTTAAAATGCCGTACATTATTTTATAGGGCTGCTGGGCTGCCGTCATATAGTAGCACCAACTGGGTGACTTAAACTACCAGTTATTGGAGGGGAGGGCATAGCTCCGTGGTAGAGTGTGTGCTTAGCATGCACGAGGCCCTGGGTTCAATCCCCAGTACCTTTATCAAAAAAATACATAAACCTAATTACCTTTCCCTTCATATTTGTGGAGGCTAGAAGTCTGAGATCCAAGTGTCTGCAGGGTTGATTCCTTCTGAGGGCTCTGAGGGAGAACCTGTTCCAGGCATCTTTCCCCTAGCATCTAGTGAAGGCCAAAAAACCTTGGTGTTCTTTGCTTGCGGATCTACCCCAGTCCCTTTCTTCACCTTCACGTGGGCTTCTTCCTGGATGTCTCTGTCCCCAGCTTTCCCTCTTCTTATAAAGACACCAGTCCTATTGGATTAGGGCCCACCCTAATGATTTCATCTTGATCACATCTGCAAAAATCCTATTTCCAAGTAAGGTCACACTCATAGGTCACAGTGATTAGGACTTTACTTGGGGGACACAGTGTGACCCATAACACTTTGTACAGATATGAGCTCATCAATCTGTATAGTGAAATGTATGTACTTTATTATAGGCATTAGACTTTTATCCAAACATACTAGTTTTTAAGACTCCAGTTAGTTAAATATATAAGTAACCAAATTACCTCCCCCCATCAAAAACAACAATGCTCCATTTATTTGTTTGTTTATTTATTTTTAATGGAGGTCCTGGGGATTGAACCCAGGACCTCATACATGCTAAGCACACACTCTACCACTGAGCTATACCCTCCCCCTTCCAATGTCTTTTAACATGGTTCTAACAGGAAGAACAGGAAAAGAATTCAGACTAGAATGAAACAGTACACAGATCTTTGTTCCATGGGTTTCCACACTAACTGCATTTTAGAATCATCTGGGGAGCATTTTGTAAAAATCCCAGTCTCAGCTCAGCCCCCGACCAATTAAGCCATCTCTGAAAGTGGGGCCTGGGCACTGTATTTGCTGAAACGCTCTCCAGATAATCCTAATGTGCAGGTGGGATTTCAAACCAGGGCCTTGGTTAATGGTAAGCAGTCACCTAGGTGGAGGTAATTATGTAATCCTTAAACCCAGGAGCCTGATCTCCCGAATAACTGCTCTCCATTTCTTTGAAGTTACACAGTCTCAGTGCAGGCAGCTGTTCTGATTAGCTGTTGCTAAGAAAACAAACTGCCCCATGAGTATATATCTGAGAAAAGTGAAACTGTGTCTCAAAGAGTTATTTGTGCACCCATGTTCACAGCAGATGAAAAGGTGGAAGCAACCCAAATGTGTATTGCTGGATGAATGGATAAACAAAATGCGGCATGTACTTAAAACAAGGCATGTACTCACAATGGGATATATTCAGCCTTAAAAAGGAAGGGAATTCTGACACGTGCTACACATGGATGAGCCTTGTAGATCTTATGCTAAGTGAAAGAAGCCAGTCACAAAAAGACAAATACTGTACGATTTCATTTATCTGAGATACCTAGAGTAGTCAAACTCACAGAAACAGAAAATAGAATGGTGGTTGCCAGGGGCTGGGTGGAGGGGAAAATGGAGAATTGTTTAACCTGTATAGAGTTCCAGTTTTGCAAGATGACAAGTTCTGGAGATGGGTTGCACAACAATGTAAATAAACTTGCCACTACTAAAGTGTACTCTTAGAAGTGGGTGAGATAGTATGTTTTATGAGATACATATTTTACCTCAATTAAAAAAAATTGCCCTGAAGTTTTGTGACTTAAAGCAGCAACAATCATTTTATTATTTTTACAGCATCAATGAGTCAGGAATTCAGGAAGGCTGGTTCTGGCCTGGGATTTCTCATATGGTTGCAGACCGCATGACTAGGACTGGAATAGTAGGGGCCTGGGCAGGCATCTCTCTTTGTGTGGTTTCAGGGCTTCTCCACATGGTGTCTCCTTCTGGGCTGATTTGGCTTCAGGGCAGTAGGACTTCTTTCCTGGCAGTTCAGGGCTCAAACTAAGGGTTTCTCATGAACAAGGTGGAGGTGGCCTCCCCTATTCTGACTTAACTTGGAAGTTAAGCAAGTGTCCCCTTCTGACACACTCTAGTGGTCAAATAGTTACCAAATCCAGTCCCATTTCAAGGAAAGGAAGTAGGGTCAAAAGGATGTCACAACAAGAGCATGTAGATTAGATAAAGAAGGTGTGGTATATATCTTTACAATGGAATACTACTAAGCCATAATAAAGAATGAAACAATGCCATTTGCAGCAACATGGATGGATCTAGAAATTATCATACTAAATGAAGTAAGTCAGACAGATAAAGGCAAATATCATGGTATCACTTATATGTGGAATCTTAAAAATAGATACAAATGATCTTATTTACAAAAGAGAAATAGACTCACAGACATAGAAAACAAACTACATGTGGTTACCAAAGAGAAAAGGGGGGGAGGGATAAATTAGGAATTTGGGATTAGCAGATACAAAGTATTATATATAAAATGGATAAACAACAAAGTCCTACTATATAGCTCAGGGATCTATATTCAATAACTTGTAATAACCTATAAGGAAAAATAATATAAAAAAATATATAACTGAATCACTATGCTGTACACCAAAAACTAACATAACATTGTGAATCAACTATACTTCAATTAAAAAAATAAAGCATGTAGGATGGGAGATATTGTTGTGCACACCTTTATAAAACACAATTGGCATAGTAATGATCAGGAGAACTTAGTGAATCTCCTTGTCACCATAATTATTTCCTTAGTTGGCATCATTCAACCCTGGGAACATTTGAAGTTAAATATAGAAATGTTCAAGTGACTCAGACCTCAGGAATTAATGTTTTGGTTTAAGGAATTTGTGCATACTTGGCTTTTTATATACTGGAAATGTTTAAGAAAATCTTGCCTTCTAGAGTTTCCTGGTGAGATCTGTGATTCTCAAAAAAAGTTCTCAAAACTTTTCCCTGCCTTGATTTAGAGACCTGGGATGAATAACTCTAAAGTGGCTGAGCCAAAAAATATGTATATATTTACATATGTTAAATGTATCTATATTATTTTTTTGACAAAATAAATTTTTGTCAAAAATTTTTTAATTCATATTTTTCATTGAAGTGTAATGAGTTTACAATGTTAGTTTCAGGTGTACAGCAAAGTGATTCAATTATACATATACATATGTATGTATATATTTTCAGATTCTTTTCCACTACAGCTCATTACAAGAAATTGAATATAGTTCCCTGTGCTATATAGTAGGTCCTTGTTGTTTACCTATTTTATGTATGCTAATGTGTATCTGTTAATCCCAAACTCCTAATCTATCCATCCCCCTGACTTTCTTCCCTGGTAACCACAGTTTGTTTTCTATGTCCATGAATCTATTTATAGATTGTAAATAAAATTTGTATCTTTTTTTTAGATTCCACATATAAGTGATATCACATATTTGTCTTTCTCTGTCTGCTTATCAAATTTTTGACAAAATAAAATTAACATTACCAAATGGTGTCAAGTATTCTCATTCTGTCCCTGAACTTCAGACCATCTGGAATCTCATCTCATCCTCTGGAGTAGGGTAAGGGGATAAAGTCATGATTGGAAGCTGAATTGGGGGTCAGGACAGCAGTTAGGACAGGGCCTTTTTTTTTCTTTTTCACTTTTATTACTCAAGCTTCATCTTTTTCTTTAGCTTTTTGACTCTGTGCTTGGGCTTTCAATACTTTCACAACGATTTTCTGCTCCTCAATAAGGAAAGTATGCTTGACCCTGTCACGGACACATTTAGCACATGTGGAACCACGAGAAGCCCAGCTGACATGTTTTTTTGTTTTAGACAGTCTCATAAGAACTTTAGGTCTCACAGCGTGAACTCCTCGAAGCTGGCCTGGACACACGCCACATGCGGATTTTGCTGCTTTCCCAACTTTCTTGGTATAAAGGTAAACAATTCTATTACCAGGGCTTCAGGACAGCCTAGTTTTGTTAGAGGCTGTATTATAGGACAGCCTACGATGGTATGTCAAACGCTGGACCATTCTGAATGCCTCTAGATATGGCCCCTGGAAGAGGAAAAAGGAGGACAGGGCTTTTTTTTAAATCACGTTTTGTATTCTGGGTTCTTTCACTTAGTGTAATGTTTTCAAGGTTTATCCAAGTTGTGACATGTATCAGTATTTCATCCTTTTTATGGCTGAATATTATTCCACTGTATTGATATATCACATTCTGTTTATCCTTCCATCCCCTGATGGATATATGTGGTTGTTTCACCTTTGACTAGGGTGAATAATGTTGCCATGAAAACTGACATTCAAATAATCTGTTTTAGTCTCTGTTTTCAATTCCTCCAGGTATATGCCTGAGTGGAACTGCTGGATACTATGGTAATTCGATGTTTAGCTTTTTGAAGGGGAGGTGGCCCATTTCTCAAGGGTTGGACCCAGAAACTGGCCCAGCATTCTCTTCTATCATATTTTATTGATCAAGCAGTCATAGAACACAGCTTCAAGGACAGGGGACATAGCTTCTCCCCCAACTCCTCCATACAAATGAAGAATATCACAGGGCTTGAAGACATGTTTTAAACTTCCCGCAAAGAATCTGGGAGCTGGGGGGTGGGCCCAAGGAGAGACCCTCAGGAAGGCAGAGTCAGACAAAG